ACACTCCCAGAATTTAATCTCTGAACAGTGTTATCTTTCTAGTAAGACAGCTCAGATCTTGCTTCCCTGTGACCTTCCAAGTTTCAGTCTGTGTTCTGTCTATCAGAAATTCCTCCTTCCCACCCACAAGTACCCTTCTGTTGTGGGAGAAGGAGGGCCTTTCCAGTCTTTTGTCTGTGGCCAAGCCAACGTTCAAACTGTGGTTTTCTCTGAGTCTCCTTGCTGAAGCATTGCTGTTTCCCACACCCAATAAAGAAGCAAAGGGCTTGTATTTGCTGACCAGGTCTTATACAGCTGGTGCTTATACAGCTCTCACATTCCCAGGACATTGACTGATGACGGTGCAGCCCCCATCCCTGGGTTAACCCACAAGTGCAGAGTGCTAATACTGTATGGCCAAACCTCACATTTTTTAGAAATTATATGGAGAGAACTTTATATAATTCTTCTGCTTATTTTTGAATGAGTGTCAGGACAAAACAGTTCATACAATCTGTCATTGGTAGAGTTGTAGGATTAGGGCCAGTACAGGCTACAGGGTGTACCTGGGGAGGCTGATTTCTGCCAGTAGTCTAAAAAACATCTATTTATATGTCTGCCTTTAACATTACCTGAGTACTTTCCTTGTTTGCTTCTTAATCAGATTTGATTACCTTAATCTCATTCCACTTAGTCTTGGCTTTGGTGAAACACCTGGGGACTTGTCTACATTACTGACTTTTGGGAATTTTGGATGGCACAGAATTGTAATAATTTCATTACCCATTCAGTATATGAGCGTATGATCACCAAACAACAGATGAGAACCTGGAAGCTTTTTACTGTATTTGGAAAAAGTATCCGCTTTTTTGAGATGCAGCACATGTTACATTGAGGCTGGAACAAGCTTGACTCTTTGGTAGATTGAGAATTCTATCTCAGCTCAGTTAGGGTTCCACTTGGCTGCATGTAATAGGGCGCCCCCCACACACACACCCATGGCTTAAACAAGTTAGAGGTTTATTTTCTTTCCCCAGTACAGTCAGAAATCTAGAGCTAGGTGCTCCTAAAGTCCGTGGTGCTGTCAGGAACCCGTGCTCCTCCTGTCTTTCTCCTCTGCGGTCCGTAACAAGTGACTTCCACGCTGTGCCTGTCCACCTCTAGGTAGATATCCATGTTCTGGGTGGGGAGAAGAGCAGTAAAGGGCAAAAGCTGTGCACCAGCCAACCCAGTCTGCCCCCTTCGAAGAGCTTTCCCAGAACCTGCACCTAGAAACGTCTGTTTACAACTCAGAACTAGGTCCCATGGTTATCTCAAGGTACAGGAGAGATTGGGAAATGTCATTTTTTAGATGGGCACACATTATTACCCAAACAAAATCCGGGCAGTTTTATTGGGAAGAAAGGAAGAATTATTAGTACCCAAGCAAGTGAGTCTCCTAAGCAATAAATTCTTCTGATTTATTTTATTTTGTGTTTTGAGATAAAGACTGATCTTATTACTTATGCAACATTGGTGTCTAAGGTCTTGCCACAAAATTTGCATCTGGGAAGGTGAATTTATTTTTGTTTGGGATCTATAGAAGGGCTTACTTACATTTTGTGGCTGAGTATAAGTTGAACACATAACCACACTAGGCACTATTCAAACTCCAGAGAATGGTCCTATTACAAGATTACATCTCTGTGTAAACACAAACTTGCCTATTTTCTTGTATAGGAATTTAACTGTTGCTTAAAAAAAAAAAATCAATAGTTGGTATAATGTGAGTTGTTTTTTTTTTTTTTTCCATTCATGTTGTAAATGCTTATTAAGCACCTTTTATGCACAAGGCATTCTACTAGGCACTGTTAGTGAAACAAAAGTTAATCAGATATAAATCCAGGCATTTCCAGTACATATATAAGTGCCTGTAATACAAGGTAGAATGTGCTAAATGTGATAAGACACATACAAATACATTTTTATAAGCATTTAGAAGAGGGAAGGATCATTTCTGCCAAAGAGAATTGAGTAAATATGATCTGGGGAACCTACACATATGTTTTCACTTTAAGAGTTTGTTTTTGCAGCTAGTGAGCATCATTATAAGACTAGAAAACTATGTTGAAAAACGTAGGACCAACTACCATTCACAAGTCATTACAGATAAGCAGACTTACATATCAGTCCGTCCTTTGGTTCCTCAGTAAAAGGCAGTAGTTTGGGAAGGAAGGGAGCATTTCAGTTTCTACTGTGTGCCTGGCACTTTGATTTATTTCAAGAAACCTTTACTGAGTGCCTGGGCTACATTTATTTATGTGATCTTCATTTAATCCCCAACAGTCCAGCCAAGTGATTATAATTGTTTTATGAGGAAGCTAAAGCTGAGAGGTTAAGTAACTTGAAAAGGTCACCCAGTTTATAAGTGACAGAGCCTACATTTGAGCCCAAGCACATTTGATTGCAGAGCCATGCTCCTTTCCACTTACCTGAGTGTCTGCTTTTCGCTGATGACCTAATCTGGTTTTGTAGCCATAGTAAGTGTTGAACAGTCACTTCCTTCTTCAACCCAGTCGAATGGCAAGTCCTAGAACCAGCTGCTTGAAACTTGGTTTTCATTTGGATACTTTGATTTGTACTCAGAAAGTTAATCTGTTACCTGCTCAAATCTTGTTAGAACTTGACTTCCTTTTGACTTTTCAATAATTGATTTTTGTAATAAATAACTACATATAGATGGTACAAAATTCAAAAAGGTACAAATGATATATAGTAAAAAATTAGTTTCCCTCTCCCCCTGACCCCTAGCAAACAGTTCTTTTCCATGGAGGATGCCAGTTTTCTTTAAGAGCCTTTCAAAATTCTTCTGTGCAGATACCAACATTGTATATATGTTTGTGTGTGTGTATTGGTATATAAATGTATGTTTGTATGTATCCTTTTTTCTTTTTTACTCAAGTAGAAGCTTACTATACTCACTGTTCTGATCTTGCTCTTTTTATTCATCTTTTTATTTGTATTTAGATGTCCCAGGAAGATTTTTTAACAAAAGAAAAACTCAATGAATTTGAAATACGGTTAAGTTGTCACCAGGGCAACATGTATTGCATAGATGTTCTTACTGATGGCAGTTCCGTCACAGCGTGAAAAATCTAACTCAATAAAGAATGTTTTTATTTCCAAGAGCATTTCACTAACAGTGGTTTTCCTCCTCTACTACTCATCCAGTGAACGTGTTTATGGATGGTCGACATAGGACTCTTCAGCCCCCATTCTGAGTTCTGGTCTCCTCCCCACCCTGAGTGAGGCATCTTTCAAGCACTCTTCAGTCTAAGCTCACTTATTGGGAGGCAGTGGTGAAAATAGAAGCCTAGGTTAGCCCTCTCCTGCCTCCCTCCTTCCTCCCAGTTGAATCTCTCCCACAGATTTTGTGGCCCTCAGATATGGAAACAGTGCTTGAAAGGAGTGGGTTTGTTTTTGAGCCAGTCCCCACAAGCTGGCCTCTGCTGCACCTCCTGGTTTCTGCAGATCACCCAACCCCTCGCCTCCCCCGCTCCCATGTACACCCCCGTGTACACACTCTGCAGCCCCGGGCTCCTGGCTTTGCCCCCTGGGCTCCGGTCTTCCTCAGCTCCCCTTCTGTGGTCAGAGATAGAGGCAAGCGAACAGCTCTGCAGTTCCCTCTCGGGTGGTTTCCAGAGACGGGGAACATCTCAGTCCAGTTGATCTGCGTGAAAAAGCCCCAGTCCTCCACCTCTGAAATCACTTTGCTCTTTGTCAAGCCTCTCAGCCAAACACATTCCCTCCACACAAGACCCCCTCCCTGATCCCCCGCTCATATCTGCCCAGCCTGGAACCCTTGGACACATTTTCCTGAAATGGGACATTCCAAGGCACGAGTATAGAAGGGTTGGTTAACATTTATTTACTAAAGCTACCCAGTTCATCTTTTATATCTTAAAAAATAAGTTTACCTGGTGAAGTTCACCTAAAAGGTGAATGTAAGAGCATCTGAACTTATTCCTTTAGGCCTTGCCATGAGGCAATGACATTTCTTCCATGCCTCTTAAAATGTCGTGCCTACAAATAGATATCAATTGCCAGAAAACCTTTTAATAAAAAGTCCTACGTATTTTGTCAATTATATTATTTTCCTCCTAATATTATTTTACATTTAAAGCTTTTATGAAGCAATGCATATTGAAAGCAGTGTTAACGCAATTGAAGAATCAGTAACAAAATTTGGGACACAAGAAAACGATTTCTAATGGGGTGAATTAAGTTGTAAGGGTTTTTTTAAGCCTCTCCCTGAGGAAGTGTACAATTAAATACATCCTTACTGCAGGTACGTGTTGGTGTTTGTGACATCTAGATGGTTTTTAGGTCATTATTTAATAGTTGTAGGCTTACCCTCTGAGCGAAAATACCCTTGTTTTGCTCTGGTATTTGTATACAGTAACTACTATTCATGTAGTAATTTTACTTTGAAAGTGTTTTCAAGTGTAGTTTTATGTTAATCTTCAGGTCATCGAGGTGTTACTACGCCACACTGGCTCCTTCCCTCTCCTCCAAGGTACGAACCTTCTAGAGGAGTTCAGAGTTCTGTGAGTGGGCTGGAATTCAGTCAGGCTTCAAGTCACTTTTGTTCTGTGCTGTATTCCTAGTACTCGATACCCAGCAAGAGGCATTCATTAAATACTTGTTGACTTTAACAATGAAGGGATACTAAGACTGAGAGGGACCAAATGCTTCTCTAATTCACGCATATGGACAATACATAGTACCCAGCCGCCCTGAGTCCTACTCCAGTGTACTTTCAGCAAGATAATCTCAACTCTCTGCTAAAAGAGATTTTCCTTCCCTGAACCTAAACCTGCACTGGCTTTATTGGAGGAGAAGTTTTTCCTTAAAAATTACTTAATTTTAATGGTTTCCCATTTCCTTTTGTCCCACCTCAGGATTGCAAACCAGTTACTGACTTACAGCAAACTAATTCGTGAAGGGCATCTCCATCTTTCATTTTTTTCTTTTTCTCGTAGGCGACCTTTGGCAGCCAGACACTACCTAACTCCAATTTATGGACAATAAATAACAGTGCAGCTTGCAGAATTTCAAGCACCACAGCTAGTGGCCAGAAGCCAACCACTCTGCCACAAAAAGTGGTGCCAGCTCCAAGTTCTTCCTCCTCCTTCGTTCCCAAACCCCCGTCCAATCACAAACAAGTCCTCAGAAAGGCAGCATCCCAGAGGGCTTCCAAGTAAGTTTTCAGTAATCTTCTGTTCAATTTCTTCTGAGTTGTATCAATTCTATGCTAACAGTACTCTCTATTTCTGGAGGCTCAAGACAGTTTGTGCTGAAATGTTGAAAAGAACACCTGATGGGGAATAAAGGCTAACTGGTTCTCAGCCCTGGCTACAAATTAGAATCATCCTGGGGAGCTATTGCAACACGGCCAATGTCCAGGCTGTGCCCTGTGGGAGGGGCAGGCACTGCTCTTTTATGTTCCCCAGTGGTTGTGATGAGTGCTGCCACTGGCAGGGTTCAGGGTCATTGCTAACTCACTCTTCTGGCCTCCAGCAGGAAGCTCAGTCAGACAGTGCACTGGTTAACAGTGCTGAACTGTGGGCTTGGAGGGAGGAAATGACAACTTCCTCCTGGGTGTGTTTTTCTTTTGGTCATTCTACAGAGTTAGATCTTTTCATATATATTTCAGATAAAATGCAATACTCTTCCCTCACCCCCACCCTTGTTTGTTCATTTTTAGGCATTTGAAAGGGAAGACATAGGATTGGGATTTCAGTAGAGGGATTAACTTCATTGACATTAGTCATCAGGCTCTGTGTAGCAACAATGTTTCTAATACCTTTTGTCATTTACCTATTTTACCTCAAAAAAGACATTTCCGTACCTGAATCACGTTTTTTAGGTCACGTCCTTCACTGTACCTCCAGCCATCTTCCCTAGTAAACCAGAAATGGACTGGTAAAAGGAGTGCTGGTTCTAACAGCCCCTCTCCATTTAAAATTGGGGAACTTATCAAAGATGTCTGGAAGAGGCAGGCATTCCCTGATGGATAAACGCCTAGAGGACGTTTGTGTGTTTCTCTTGTTCTCATTGAGGCTCCCCATTCATTTGTCCTTCACAAGATCAATTTTAGTTGTAAGAAGGAATCCTAGGGCATAGAAAAAGCAGTTAGTGTTTTTCCCCCCTTGGATAATGAATCAAATTCTGGATTTGGATCGAAAACAATCCCTCGTGGTTGTTTTAATTGTATTGCTGCCATTATTCATTTATCCAACAAACGTTTATTCAGTGCCTACCAAGTGCCAAGCACTGTTCTAAGAATAAGAGGCATTGTAATGACTTTATAGAACTATCTGGAGCAGTAGGAGAGGGCAGTGGGAAGGCTGCAGTTCGTGGTTGAGAGCCAGTAGCACGATCAGAAGGATGTATGGTCCCTCACCCTAGAAAGAATAGCCTTGAATCCTTAAGGGTGCAGCCTCTGGAGCCAGCCTGCCTGTGTCCCATCCCACCCACCCCCCCTGCACACACACACACACACACACACATACGCATGCACGCACACACACCCCAAAAAAGAATTTAGCCTTTAATCTCTTTTTATCCACGAAGACTAAAGCTCTGTACTCGACCCCGCGC